CCAGCAACACCAGCAGCAGCATCCCCATCAACAGCATCAACAACACCAGCAACAGTCGCAGCAGCAGCAGCAGCAACAGCAGGCTCAGCATCATCACCCGCCACCCCTAGCCTACTATTCATTTCAATTAAGCCAAGCACAGCCGCCGCCCCCCGCCCAACATCCACAACCAACCAATAATGCAGCAGTCACAGCAACCCAAATGGCCCCCTCGCCTCCCACGCAGGCCAATGCAGCTGGCGCTGCGTCGTCTGTGTCCGCAGCTCAATCGCACAGCATGGTGGGGGGCGGTGGTGGAGGTATGTCCGGCGGCGGCAGTAGCGCCAACGCAACAAACATCGCTAGGCAACATGCTGCAGCCGCGGCTGTGGCGGCAGCGGCTGCTGCAGCCAATAGCGGCGCCAACATGCAGCACTACACGTCCGGGACGGCGCTCATGCCACCGCCGGCGACGAGTACGGCGTTCATGACCACCGCGTACCTGCAGCAGTACCATCAGCAGTCGGCGGCAGTAATAGCCGCTGCAGCAGCGGCTGCACAGTACAATAACAACGCTGCAGCAGCTGCAGCTGCGGCTGCGAATAACCACGGCGGTCCGGGCGGTACAGCGACAGCTTCTGCGGCACTGTACCAACAACAACAGCAGCAACATCAGCAAGCTCTTCATCATACGCAGGCATCGCTGCACACACACTACTACCACCATACAGGCGCTGGCGCCGCACCAACGCCGCCACCGCATTTGCATCCACACCACCATCCACAGCAGCATCAACTGCGCGGCGTGCTCACAGCGCAGCCTCATCAACGACAGCCACAAACCACATACTTGGTGCCGGCAAACGCGATATTTGCACTGCCACCAGGCCCAATGGCAGCATCGCCGCGCACGTCATTGCTAACCGCCAGCGCTCATCAGCAGACAGGCAGTACCGCCAGTGGCATGCCGGTGACACCGCTGTTGCAGTCGGGTGCACGCGCGCCTGCTGGTGGTCCGACGGCTTACATAACATCGCCCTTCTGCCAGCCCCCATTACCAATGGGCGCAGCCGGCATGACACCACCCCAGCCATTGCTGGCGGCGCCCTCCACCAACATGCAGCACTACACGTCCGGGACGACGCTCATGCCATGCGGCGCAACTGCCTCGAATTCGTTGTCGACGACTTCGCTGACCACAGCCAGTGGTGGGGGTAGCGCCGGCGGAGCGACTGGCGCCAGTGGCAGCAGTACAGGTGGCACCGAAACCGTGAAGCCGCGTAAATACGCTATACCCATAATACACCCGATCACGCATGAGAACATACTGGATCCAAAGCCACAAAAAAAGAGCACAGCAGTTGAGGCCAAGCCCTCGGGCACAGACGTTGCCGCTCTTTCGCAAGATCAAACAGACAAATCCATTACTGTCTCCATTTCTAGGACAGCGTCGTTCACAACGATGGCGGCCACAACCCCGAAAGAGCAGCACGGCGGCGACAATGTGACCGTTACTGCAGGCGCTGACATCATTGCGGTGCAAAGAGAGAAAATCGATCAGCAAATGCAGACGGATGCGGTGCGTGATCGTAGCACAAGCAGGCGTGTGAGCTCATACGATGCGCGTGCGACTGAGTGCTCGCCGCTGGTAACCGCCGTTTCTGGCGATGAGGACAATCAGACGTTTGGCTATGGCGATCCAAAAGATTGTCGCAGTTGCGACGTGAATGTTCATTGCTCTCAGATGGGCGTGTATTTGAATGAGGAGGAGCAGCAGATGAGTCTATGTGATGACCATTCGGCGGCGCACGCTACCGCTAGCATAAACAGCGCAATCGGTGACGATGGCGACGACAGCAATTACGATGAAGGTAAGAGTGATTGGTATAGAAAAAATATATTTTTAACTAAGACTTCTTCAGCGGAGCTGGTACATAGAAAAATCGTCACGAAAAATGTGGAACTTGGTACGCAATGGAAGAGCATATCTCTTGATTTTTCTCGCTCCCTTTCTTGCCGCCGCCTATATTATTATTGAGAGTGGATTATGGGACTAAGATTAATAATTAAGTCAGATTGAGAGATGCTTCACTTCCATAGAGTGACCAAGGCATATTAATTTTTTTGATAAAAAGCTACTCAATACAAACAAAATGAAAAAGCATTCAATTGTAAAAGCTTTCAAAAACTTTCAGAGTCTACTTCCTTGATGTTAGATGTTGAAGAAAACGAGCATGACAATCTGCAACCAGCCGACGTCTATGAAGCTACACAAGACATTCAACAACTACGCTTTTCCGGCAGCGACGCGGATAATAAATTCGCGCATGAGCAATACGAAGAATCTGATATATCGGCTGTTACTTCAGCGACAACGCTAAGTGGCGGCGAGGAAGATCACAGCAAATCTGACTTCATGCAATCTCCAGAGCAGAGATCCTTAGCTACCGTTACTGTTTTTCCAGTACAGACAGGACAGCACTCCGAATTCGCACAGACCCAAAGTAAATATCAATTGTCCTAACTGTTAGACATGCACACAAACACCTATTTAGACAAGCTAGTCATTTTTGCTAACAAATTCCGTTTTTTTAACTTGCAGATGTTGCAACGACAACCACAACCGCAGGCAATGATGTTTTGCGCGTGTATGCTGGCGCGGAATCTGTCACTGCAACACCAGTCGGCAATTACGCAGATACACCTGCAGCTGCAACGGCCACATCCGCTACGAATACGCAGTTAAAGAGCAGCAAATCGAATACATCAGCCAGCTCAGTGGCGGTTTCCATACCCAGTGGAGGTGCACCAACAACCATTACTACCAGCAGCAAGACAACTACACAAAAAACTTCACCCATCACTTCGGGTGCCTCATCATCAGCCACCTCGACCCCCACACATCACTCATATGCACAACCACAACAAATGCTGCGGCAGCAGTATCAACACCAACAACAACAGCAGCCGCAGCAGCAGCAGCAACAAAGAAAAACCAGCATCAATGTGCATACAGCTGGCGGCGCAATGACTGCATCCATTAGTACTAGTAGTAGTGGTGGTGCTGGTGGTGCGAGCGCAGGTAGTTCCCTACCAATGAAGCAGAGCGGCGCTGCTGCAAATACGAAAAAGGGTCGCAAAGCCTCGAAGCGCGCCAAGGAAAGCCAAAAGAAGCTCCATAAGCAAAGTGAAGTTAGTAGCCAACGCTTCAATGCTGCATCGCTAAGCAGCAGTAACAATAACAATAGTATTAGTAATAATAGTGGCAGCAACAGCAACAACAACAAAAGTATATTAACCAATGCCAATACAAATAATAATCTTAACAATAATTTAGAAACTAAAAATTTGACAACTACAACTACAACTACAACGGCAACATCAAGCAACATCCTGACTGATATAAATAATGCAAATAGTTCTAACGATAGTGGTATTTTAAGAGAAACGACAACAACTTCAACAGCGAATTTAAGACAACAACAACAGCAACAGCAGCAGCAGCAACAACAGCAACATCCACATCAATCAGCATTGCAACAACGTAGCGGCAGTGTGACAAAAAGTGGGAGCTTGACAGGCGGCTTGACGGCGAAAACCAACACAAAAAGTAGGTGAACAAAATAAATAAAGATAACTTTTCGTAGAGTCGTAGGCTTGAAGTGACAATGAGTAAACTTATGTTTTCATATTGTCTTCATTGCTGTTTGGCTTTACGGAGGATTTACAGTCGGCCTTATTGCGTAAGTCGTAAATTAGACATAATTTCACGACTCGACAACATTAGCATTGTCCATTTTCGTGTCGAGTGAAAGTCTGATATAAATCGAGATCGCACCACGATGGAAAGGTTGAAATTGTGCATAAACCTCAGTAATTTATGGGCACCCGCATATACATTTATATCTCTCTATTTATCTCTACAAAAATTACTACACATCTGGCTTATCATGTTATTGTTGTAACAGCATACAAATTCATCAAAGAGTTCTTGAGGAGTGACAGTCCCTGGCCAGATATAAATCTTTAGCAATGCTCTCGAAAAACGACTAGGGAGTTGAGATAGATTTTTAAACCTTTCATGAAAATAAAGTGGTATTATAACTTTGATTCGATGTTTGGAAGTACAATAAAAAGAAGGGATAAACCCATAAAATGTTATGCCAAAGTTGTTACGTCTTTGAGCTGAATCGATTTGGACAGGTCCATCTGTCTGTCTGTTGGAACGCAAACTAATTCCTCAATTTGAGAGATAGCCGACTATAATTTGGCACGAAGCGGTCTTTTGTACTGTCCGTCTGTTTATTTAATGTCGATTTTAGATTAGTTTACTTTCTTATTCCTTTGCCCTTGTTTTCTTCTTTTGCATATACATATGTATAAATTGTACATTTTTAATGCCATTTCTAAGGTGATTTCCTCACGGACATTCATCAAGCGACCGATCGCACTTCACACTTGCACACTTCGCCGCAACTGCAGCAACTACTGTCGCAGCCAACAAAGCACCTGAAGACTCAGGAAATCGTTGCACAATTCTTGCAATCATCGTCAGAACAGCAATTGCAATTTCTAAACAGTTCTTCGTCCGCTTGTGAAGATGAGGAAGAAATGTGCGCTCGATTACAAATGCGGATGCAACAAGATGCTGCTGAGGCCGCAAGCAGTATGCAAGATGTTAAATTTGGCGATTTCGCTGAGGACAAAGATTGTCAAGGCACGGCGTCGTCATCGTCGTCGACCCCGACCCCGGTGCTACCACAACAACAGCAGCAACAACCACTACAAAGTCGACAATCTACAAAGTCCAATTCACCCCACAAGGAAATTAATAAAAATAAAAGCGCCACGACGAAAGACACTGTAGATAGCACCCATAATGTCAGCACGGCAACGCTTACCAAAACCAGCAGCGCGTCCAGCATCCGTGATGGTCAAAAAACTACTGCTGTAAGCACTGCCAATAGTGCAGCTACTACTGCAGCCTCTCCCGACAGTGCTGTGGGGCCGCCAAAACCGCGCAAATACTCGCTGGATGAGCTAAAGGCGCTTTCGAAATCCAGCGAGGCGCGCAAGCCGCCAATGGTATCGTGTCAGCGCGGTGACTGCATTTCACAGCTATTCGTTTCGCGTCAGCAGCATCATCACCTGACGCATCACGCGCACAACATGTCCTCACTGGCACTACATCAGCATCTGCAGCAGCAACAATACCAACACATGAACTTCAATGAGTCAATGGAATTGGTGAGCGGCAAGCGTGGACGCAGCGCACAGACGAAGAAACATCACGAGCATCAGGCTGGCGGAGGTGGTGCTGTGAGTGGCGTACTAAGTGTTGCGGCTGCAGCCGGCGCAGTGGGCCAGGGCGGAATCGGCGGTGCCGCTGGCGTGATGAGCGCGCAGCAACAACGGAAAGTCGACTTTATACGTGTGCAGTTGTCGCTGAAGGAGGAGATAAAGCTGTCGGAGTGTGAGAATGCTTGGCAGCCGGAAACATTACGCAGCAAATCGAATAATGTTTCGCCTTCGGGCGCCAACGATGACATCGACGCTGTGTTGAAGAGAGTGCGCGGCGTACTGAACAAGTTGACACCTGACAACTTCGATGTATTACTCAAGTCGATGACCAGCATCTCGATGAATACACAGGAGAAAATGCAACAAGTAGGCATATTGATTTGACCGATGTGGCATTGCTTTGCAAACACTTTGAAAATTCAGATTTGAGTACTGGCCCTTGAGCTGAAACATTTCTGGTTTGTCAAAGTGTGCGAAGTAGGTTTATGAAAACAGCTCACTTAATATTAGAGTTGAAGATTGCGAGTTAATATCGAAATTTTTGTATATATTAAATTCTGTTTTAACAGCTGAAATTTTGAAATTGAAACATATACATCTTTTTAATTTCTATTTTTCTCGTCCCGTCGTCATTATAATCTAAATGTTGAGCTTAATTTTTCGCATAATTACAACTCAGCTTAGATTTCAATCGAATAATAAGTGAGCCCATCTTTTTCCTTAAATACATATAGATGGTCGTGTGCAGTAACGACACAATTCAAAAAACAAAAAACCAAAACTGTTGTTACTGTTCAGTGGCTCTTGTCTCTAATCCTTGTCTAATCGATTTACGTCCTTTACTAAAGTAAGCAGTAAAGATTGCTAAAGTAAATACTAAAGATTCTACAAGGATTAGAGAGACATGAGCCACTTAACAGTAGTAACGCTTTTTTTTTTTAAATTATGAATTGTGTTATTGCACAGGATCATCGATATCTATAGACATGCAAATAATATTCATCATACTTTCGTGCTTCACAGGTGATGCTATTGATTTTCGAAAAAACCGTGAGCGAACCGAATTTCGCCCCTACATACGCCAAGTTTTGCAAAGTGCTTTTCCAAGAAATCAAAGCGGAGAGCAAATCACTTTTCTCTAGCTCGCTAATCAACCGCATTCAGACTGAGTTCGAGACAAATGTAAACGATGCAAATGCGAAGAAATTGAAGCTGCAACCGCTGGTCGATAAGTTGGAGAGTTGCGTCGACTCCAAAGAGCGGCTGGAACTGCAGGCCGAACTGGAAGACCAAGAATATCAGTTTCGACGTCGTGCTTGGGGCACGGTTCGCTTCATTGGTGAAATGTTTAAACTACAATCGTTAACCAACGACCGTGTATTCTTGTGCATCGAATCCCTACTGGAGCATGGCTCCGAGGAGAAGCTGGAGTACATGTGCAAACTACTGACCACAGTCGGGCATCTATTGGAATCTCCGGAGCACACAAGCAATGCTCGAATGGATAAAATCTTTCGTAGAATACATGAAATCATACACAAATCGCGCAGCAATAAATCAGGCGGCCACTTCAAGATCAGCAGCCGTGTGCGTTTCATGATGCAGGATGTTATGGACTTGCGTGCGCGCACCTGGGATCATCCGCAGGCTCAGCCACAACAGCAGCACCAGCAACAAATGCTGCCTCAGCAGCAGCTACAGCAATCATCCCAGCGACGCTCAGCGATTAGTGCAAAGCAGGACGACAAAATACAGGCAGGAGTCGGCAGCAGCATGTACGAGAAGACCAATCGGCTGGGCAACTATGGCGGCGGTGGGGGCAGCGTCGGTGGCGGCGGCAATCAGGGTAATCAACGGCACTATTATACGAAATCGCATAAGTCACAGCAGTTCATGCATCCACATGAACAACAAAAAGTTAATATTGACGTCAACAAACTGAAATTTGCTAACGACGAGGTAACGCAAAGCACAACAAAACTCGGCAGCCCCCAATTCTACCTCTGGCGCACCAATCAGCCAGCTAGTTCTTTAAAAATGAACACCAGCGGCGCGAACACTGCGGCAAACAGCGGCGGATTTAAGCGACAGTCCTCTATGATTGGCGTCACAACAGGCATGTCTACAGTGTCGGCCATGGCCAACAATCCTTTTCAAGCGCTCGATAGGCAAGAAAAATCAAATGACTTGCCGATGGATGCGTCCTCGCCACAAGAGCAGCAAAAAGGTACACAATTTTCAATGGAACACGCTGACTTGCCAGATTTTAGCAAGAAAGAATGTCAAAAACTGCTTAATCAGCTGATCGAAGAGCTGCTCGCCGCTGTCAGCAGTCACAGCAGCAACGGCTGGCAACAGGAGACAGTCAACGAGTGGAATAGTCTCAATACGCGCCAACAAAAGTCATTGCTCAACTACCTACTTAGCGACTACCTATACTTGCAGACAGTGAAGCGCGCGCATCGCAAAGCCTGCGCGGCTATATTCGTGCACCTGATGCGTACCAAAATGTGTGGGCCACAAATATTTACGGAAGTGTACACGGAATTGGCCGACGAGCTGCGCGAACTGCTAATTGACGTACCGAATCTGTGGACGTATGTATTTGAATTTATAGGACCGCTGCTGCATGAGCAACTTTTGCATTTCAACGACATTTGGCTGCCACAATGGGCGGCCGATAGCAAATTCACAAAACGATTTCTCCATGCGCTCATCACTTACTTCACCAGCGAATTTGGCACAACGTACACGCGTGAGCTATGGAACAAGGAATTCAAACTGGATCATGGACAGCAATTCATTAGCGATGCCGCACAATGGCAAGCATTTGTCAACTTAAACCACTTCCAGTACATACACGATCGCAACTACAAGCCACCACAGAGAGAAAAGTCAGCGTCGACGTATCCCGCTGCCATAGCGGAACAAGTGACGCGCATTGAGTATTTGCTGAATACGATCAATGGCTGCGACCTAGCCATAGACTACATAAATACGAATGTGCACATAAATACGCATTTTATACGCAGCCTTACAAAATTTCTCTGCTGTGATTACGCAACTGTGATGCCGGCGACGACGACGGCGCAGACGCAAACTGTTAAAAGTAGTAGAGAACTAGACTCCGAACTCTTTCGACACAAATGCATACCGCTACTGAGACGTTGCCTAGACGGCCTCGAAACGCATGAGGTGGCCTGCCTCGACGCCATTGTCGACGCCATGCAGAAGGTTTATGAAACGCCAACTGCCAATCAGCTCATTTGTAGCATATTCGATCTAATCTACGACAGTGAAGTCATTCCGAAAGAGTCCTTCGACAAGTGGTATCGAGCGGTACAGGCCAGTGACTGTGTGACTGATAGTAAAGATGCGGGTATGACGAAAGCGTCAACAACAAAAAAGGCGTCAGCGACGCTGGCGGTTTCATCCTCTTCTAGCAGAGGTAGCAGCGGTGCTGCGCGCCTTAATGAATACTTACATGCGTACATGGAAAAGCTGCTTTAGCGCCGTAGGCACAGTTAGCAGCAGTACTGTAGTGGCGCTGGTGGAATTGGCGTTGGCGGCATGGCTAAGAAGCAACTAAATTACGCCCAGCCACTATTCCAGTGAGAAGGAGGGAATTGATAGAGAGCAGGAACTATATTGAAATTTCGTACTGAGTGCTGTGCCCATGAATTGCCGCCGCTAGCGTGGCCTCTCACCCCCATACAAAAATAATGAAAAACACAAACCGATTTAGCACTGTATATATGAAAATTGCATAATTTTTAGCTGCGTGAAAGGGAACTACTAACAAAGGAAAAAACAAAAATAATAGCAAAACTACTAACTAAAAACAAAAGATAAAAAAGAAGACAAATTTAAAATTAACTACCACATTAGTGTGCGTATGTGTGTATGCGTGTGTACATATTAGTGAGTAAGGCATTTAGCGTAAAACTTCTTAAAAAAAGTTTTCGATAAACACAAAAAATAACCCACAATGATTTGGTCTCAAAAAGCTGATTTTAAAAATCGACACGTAAATATTTTACTAGTTTGCTATTTTTTATTGATTTTTTTTTACCTAAAAACACATTTAATACGCCATTAGTTGCTTTTGGCTTCTCATATCATTTATTTCTTTTATCCTAATTTCGGAAAATCATAAAAGTTGAAAAACCAATCGTTCGTCCCTTACGATACATGACGCTAACTAACACGTATACATAGATTTTTGTATGTAGTACAAATATATTATATATTGTAAATGAATTAATTTAGTTTTACAAATGAAAACCTACACAGGAATCTCTAAAGAAAAATGGAAAGCGAAAAGAAATGGAAATATCTTGCAACTGCAATACCTGTAATTATGCAAAAAAGCGAGACATTCGCACATGTATAGGTACATAGATGCCCCGAGCAAAAACCTTTTCGACTTTTCATAACTGCGCAGGCGCGAGCGAGCACTAAACTGAAACTATTTCAGTTAAGGAATTTCTTGCGCCATATCCATATGCTGTCGATCCCCTAATTAATAATTCCTACCATTAATTTTTTTTGTATATACATATGTAAATGCTTAAGCAGGCATCGTAGAAATTAACATATTTACACATTCACACGCATATCATTTATTTATCATACACACGCGATCCACATTGTCTTGCCTTGCCATTAACCTTTCCACTTTACACTTTCCACGGGGCTTGACGACGCCCACGTACATATATTCAGCCATTCCATTGCCACTTTCAGCCTTGGCTACATACATATAAAGCTAGCTGGTTGTATGCTTCGTTTAATGCATTTTCGTCTTCTTTTTTTGGTACTTTTACCGTTAGGAAATACTACTATTACAAAAAATTCACTATATATATATCCATTTCACATGTATGTACATAGAAAATTGCATATTGCATTCGAGGGTGGTGCAACAAATTTCATAGTAATTTTAAGTAGTTTTCTGTTCAAACCTTTTTTTTTTTACGGAAACTTTCGAACTGAAGAACTATGCTCATCGCATTAAACTAATTTTTTTTTTTTTGTTTTTTAATTCTGTGATCGGCATTATTATTATTATTATTTTATTTAATTGAGAAGTAAATTAACCAAGTCATTCATACGCACACAGCTTTCTATCCACAATAACAAAATTGGCATTTTTTCGAGTAATTGTTGAATGAAGAACAGAACAACAGAACCGAAGAAATTACAAAAGGTTAACCGAATACAAAACTACCAGGCATCTAAAATCCCAAAATTCCATAAACCCTAAATAAATAATCAAAAATGATACAGAAATTCCAAAGAATTGTTGTAACTTTTGTCTAACCGAATATATTGTAAAACGTTCGACGATTAAATTGATTTAAATAAAATCAAATAAAAAACTAAACAAAATTTAACTATAATTGATAGTAACTATATAGGAAATTTCAATATGAAGAGCAAAGTATTTTAGACCGAAAACGGATAATTAGAAGAAAACTGAACAAAAGTTACACAGACACACAAAACTAAAGGAGTGGCCTAATCAGGGCACACAACACAAGCATTATTTTGTTTTTGGGCTCACTCAATCCGAATCCATCCGCTATCAGAATTGGCGCAACGGGTCTTGGTTCAAATTTAAAATCAAAAAACGTCTGAAAATCCAAGAAACATGCGAAAAAATTGTGTTTAAGTTGGTATGAACAAATGTCGCGCCAATCCTGAAGCGGTGCCGTGTTCAGCGCTTCAAAATATATAGCGAGTACATACATGCATATGTCGCGTCCCCAGATCAAGACACTCTTTTCGGGTTTGTGTGCAGCTGTGTTATTTAAACCACAAAAAACAAGTACCCTGTGCGCTTTAAGCCGCCTTTATTATTAATTTTCTATGTTAAACATAAGCATATATTAAACATAGCGACTAAAAATAAAATTCTATTATATTCCATATATTTTTTATGTATAAAGGTTTTCGTAGCAATTAATAGTGAAACCTCCAAATTCAAGAGTAAGGCATTCAGCTAATTGTAGGACCAACGTCCTTCAAGTTAAATAAGTGAAAATGAAAAATTACGCAATTTTTTCATATAATTTTTAAGTAGCTCTCAATTTTAGATACCATTCAATTGCAGAAAAAAAAAACGTAAAAAAAAAAGTGAAAATGGAATTATATGAATGAAATAATAATGCTTAAGAAAATTACACGCCCAGAAAATGTGTAAAGGACAAAAAAACTATGACTTAACCTTCAAGAAAATCATAAAAAAAAATGCAGTTGCGTTTTTGGGCTAACGAAATTTGTTTGTTTTGTTGTTTTTTAAGCATGAAATATATTTTTTTGTACACGACCAAAAATTTGAGATCCTTCTTTCTAGCCGTTGCTGGTCAAAATTGTAAAATATTTTGAAGCGGTGATTTGCAACTACAATTACTACCGAAAGAAAACCTTTTCTGTATCCAGTTGGCAAATTCGTGTGTATATCAGATCTTTTGAAGGGATAGACTTTCCGTGCTCGATAGCTAGAGAGATAGTTATATGAGGTGTGAACTGCAAGCTAGGGTCTATTGCGTCCTTTTCTATTCATAACACCTCTGTTAGGCCCAAGGCCCTAAAGAAGTTAAAAAGGCCTTTTAGGGGACAATGAATGAATGAATGAACGTTCTGATGCCACATCAGGCCTATGTTTCGTTTTCGATTCTTTACTGTTTTTTTTTTACGGAATAACAAAAGTTTCGGGTCTTCTAATCCATCTTCTAATAGAAAAAATCTTCTGGATACATAGTCGGCAAAATTAGAAAGCATAAATACTTATTTGAACTTTTGAAGAGATACGCTTTCCGTGCTCGGTAAATAGACAGATATTGATATGCGGTGTGCACTGCTATCTTAGATCTTTTGTGTCCCCTTTTATTCACAAAACCTCGGCCCAAGGCCATTAAGAATGAATGTGCTCATGCTGGTTTCACATCAGTCGGCAAAATTCGAAAAGAATTAACTTTACTCCAGACACACACTAATGCGCTTATAGCCATTATTTTCTTTATTTGACTTACATAGTTTGCTTGCAACACACCTTCTCGTCTACATTATAACGGTTCTCAAAGGCAGGGTATAATAGAAATAGATCTACCTGCAAGTATTTATTTAAAAGCGCCCGCATTATTTGGCCAACTGACTGGTTAAATTCACTGGTTTATTTGTAGTTGTGAATGACCTGTAAGAAACATTTTAGGTAATTTTTTGTTCTTGATGTTTGGAAAAGAAAAGTTTTAGATATTTTATTTAAACCGCTTGTTTTAAAAGATATCTTTTTGTTAGAACGGTGTGTATTTACAAAGTTTTAACTCTTAAAATTAATTTCGTTGGTCTTAAAATGCAGCTTGTAGCTTCGTTTATTATCTTAATAAAGGAAATAATTTTCTGTAAAACCAATTAAAGATATACATATACATATACCTACATTAGACCATGTCAAAAAAAAAAACAAAAGTCCTGCAATGCGACCAGAATAAGACTAAAATTTTAGCATTTGGTACATGGATGATCCCCTCTCCAGGACGATTCTAAGAGGTCGCGCGTCGAGCCTTTAGTTTTCCAATCGGAATTTGACGTAAGAAAATGAGTCGCTTCCTTTTGAGGTCAATATAATTATCTGGGATCAATGAAATCACTCGAAACTGTAAGAGTACATTGATTATATGCCATTTAAGTATTACGCAGGCTCAGATTATTTAAATTACTAAATTATCCCTTTTTAATCCCTTGTCCTATTTGGGTCAAATGTAGTATATACCATTTTTTTTTTTTTTTTTTGGAATTTAAGGAATCTTAGCATGCAATATACTTAAACGATAATGTAATACATTGATTATTCTTTCAGTTTCGAGCATTTTCATTGATCCTAGAAAATAACATTGACCTCAAAAGGAAAGTACTCATTTTCTTACGTGTAATTCCTATGGGAAAACTAAAGGCTCGACGCGAGACCTCATAGAACGGTCGTAGAGAGGGGAGATTTATGGAGGATCATTACTAAACCAAATGCTAAAATGTGAGTCTTATTCCGGCCGCATTGCAGCATTTCTTATTTTTATTTTTTTTGACGTGGTCTAACCTACATACATATAAAAAAGAAAATATGCAAAAATTGAAAAGCTATAGGATAAATAAGAAAATGTAAACGTAATCAAACACGCAAGTATTCATGAAAAGTAAACAGAATGTGAAGTGAATTAAATATTAGCAAGTCAGCCGCATTATAAACAATGAAAATGAAATAGAAAAAAAAAAATATATAAACAAGTACCAAATACATGCAGATGTGGGTACCTTGCGAATCTTAACAAAACCATTTACACACCTATGTAACAGTAATAGTAATTATATATACATAGAGCAGAAAAGCATCAGACATTATATATAATCCATACATGAATCCGATGATAGGCTCATATTAAACATACATACAACACTCAAGTAAAATGAAGTTAATAAGAAAATCGAAAATTTGAAAAAGTTAATAAGCAAAACAGCAAGCAAGCTTGACATATTTCGTGCTATCGAAGTTTATTAGACGCCCAAGTCTAGAGCAAGCAAGCATAATGACGACTTTAAATAAAAAATAAAACACAAAGTAAAAAAAATATAAAAAATGGCGCGTGCATACAACTGCATATTTCTTCGATAAATGTGCATATGTATACGTGCGGTCATAGTATAATGGATTAAACAAAACGAAAAAATTGGCTGCCTTTTTATTTACAAAGCAAATGTGCTTGGCTAGCACTTGAACTGAAAAAGGTTGGTTTTACTTACTATTCAATGTTGAAAATTATAAAAAAAAAAAAAAAAAAAATAGGAAAAATAGGTTGGTATTCAAAAAGCATAAAAGGTGTGCTATTTTTTCACTTAAATACAACTTTTTGGTGCTGGAATTATGTATAGTCTAAAATCACTTCGCTGATATACATACATATTAATTAGTAATACATTTTCCTCTTCATTTTTTTTTTTTCATAAAAGTCTGCACATAATTGACATCACAATATTTTACACCAACGTCATCACTAACTGACTGCACGATGGAGCGACGCGGACGTATTCCCGTGGCACGCTTTCGCACGCAAGAAGGCAAAACGCGCAGTCGCAGTCGTGTGCGCGATCCTGATTACAACGAACAAGATCCTGAAACTGATCTCTTTACACTGCTGGAGGATAATATTGCGCTGAAGGAAGAGAATAAAGCTTTGAAAGTTGAAATTGAAGATGGTGAGTAAAGAATTGAAATTTAAGGCGTTTCGTATTTTAAGGACAGAGGACATATTTTGTAACAAAAAATTTTCTCTGCATTCCCTAACAGTATTAATAGTCTGATAGCAGGTATACTAGCATAATTGTGGATAGGGTTAGTTAGCTAATTGTTACAGCGTCCCCTATGATCTCTCTGTGACCGTGCCTATGACAGCCAGTTCTTCGTACCGGAAAGACTCGGGGTTTTACCCGACCAGGGGCTGTGATTTCGGCAATCTAACCATGTTTTCACTCAGAAAAAAGTCAGCTAAATATATTTGTCTCAACACATGATTTCGTAATTAAAACCAAATAATTTACGTAATAACTATAATCAAATCGTGTGTTTTGGAAAACATATTTATTGGACATAACTAAACTCTTTTCTCAGTGTTGGTCGGCGGAATCTCTTAAACGTTGTTCGTATATGGGGAAACATCAGCTCCGCATTCTTCTACTACTCTGGGCTGGCATCGAGTCAAACTCTGGACCAGAAACCTACACTTGCTGCGTATGTCAGAGACGATTACACCCAAATTGCTGCAGCAGAAGAATCGATTTTCTTCAAAATTGCTACTTTGCTCTAAAAAATTTAATACAAACAAACAGAAATTCAACAATCGCGCTCAACTCGACTGCTGAGTGGAAAATCGACCTATCTCGGCAGCCAGTTCTAAAACGCCCTATCTCAAAAAACTTTTCAAGAACGTCCTATTTCAGAATTTTATTGGAAAACATTCTATCTCAGAATTCGGTTCAAAAACGCCCTATCTCACTTCAAAATGAATTCAAAATGTGCTGATATAGGGTGTTTTTGAATCGGCAGCTGAGATAGGTCGATCTTTCACTCAGCAATCGAACTGGTCAGTTGAAATTTTTTTTAGCTTTCATTAGAAAAAATAATCAAATTGAGTCAAAAATTAAGGCTGCAGTGAATTGTGAAAACAAAATGCCAATTTTGAACTACTATGCGTCAAACGTTCTGCTCGGCGTATCAGTCCAAGCTATACCATCAGCCTGCCTTGGCTAGTACCACCACATGGCAGCAGCCCCAGTATCAGCACACACTAACAAATGCCCTGCAGGCCACACTACACCTCACTAACACCTCACATTGCGATCGGTCTCCCAAGGCACAAGCAGATACGACAATTTAACTGCTAGGAATTTCAGAGCATTATTGAAAAGTTAACCGGCTTCATGGGACGGCATGGAATATTGATAGGTGCGGTCCAAGAGACGAAGCTGCAAAGCAACTCAACGTGGTTGAATTGCATAGGATACAATATACACCTTTGAGATCGCGAGCGAGATAATGGTGGTGGCTTAGCGTTCATTACGCAGCACACCTTGCGGTAACGCCTTAACGAAGCAGACATCGACCGCAGGGAATCCATCCTAGAATGTCAGGGTATTGCTATCCGGTCAGGCGATGTCGAGGTCGAAATATTTAACGTTTACATGCCTCCTGTCACCAGCTTCCCGGCAGGATAGCACCCTGAAATAGGTGCGCTCCTTAGAGGTGAAACCCGTATGGTAGTTGGTGACTTCAACCCGCTTGTCGAATGATCGTAGAGGAAACCTATTGGCTGATCAGATAGATGATTCGAAATTCTGCACAATAAACGACGATGCCAGGATTATGGGCAGGTGCATCAGCTCGCCCCCTATAACAATAGTAAGCGCTGGTCTGATAATAACCACCGCGGTATCATCGGATCATCTCCCCATAATAAACTCGATCGTTAAACCTGTAGGTGAGCTGTAGCAGCGCGCGTCATTCACGCTGGATGTATCTTAGAAACGCGTATGAACTTTCTAGCTGAGCGTGATACTCTTCTCCAGGCCGATCCCGGGAATCCCCCCGTAGGGAACTTTCAAAAGCGAAGAAAGTTCGAGGAGCATCTGAAGACTTGCAATTTCACCTCTGGTGTGAGTAATCGTTGGTCACCCGTGAGGTCATTGTCGAACCCGACGAATCGCGACGATAGAGTCGAAATCTCTTTCGGTGACCGCGCACCCGGAGCGATGCTCGAGCTATTTTCGGCGACAGTTCATGTTGCATGCTTCGATGGACAAAGCCACATTTCGAGTGACCAGAAGGCTGCACAAACTACTAACAACCAGTGCGCCTCTTGCTGTCACCAGCGGCGAGGTTCAGGTAGCCATCATCGGGAAGGAGAAAGCCTCCAAAGCCAATGGACCTGACGAAATATGCATGGTGATGCTGAAAAACTTGGGTTCTGCGAGAGTAGGTTATCTCACCAAGATATTCAATTTGTCCCGGGACACTCTTATCGTTGCGGATATGTGGAAAACGGGGACAGTGGTCCCACTGCTTAAGCCGGGGAAACAAAGGAGGGACTTATCGTACGATAACTCATTTTCCCGGTAGCCAAAACACTTGAGGCCTTGTTACTCCCGCGCTATACGAATCACCTGATCCAGCGAGGCAGGCCGATTTGGGAATACAGCCACCAGGCGTGGTCGAGACAGAACTTCGCCTTCTTCGGGAGACTCGCACCACCATAGCCCAACTTCGGTCTGGATACTCCAGCAGGCTATCTGAGTAGGATCAACGACTCGCGACATATCTTCGCATGTCCCTTAAACCCCACTCAACTCAACTAACGCCCCTCGACCTTTGGTCCAACCCAGTCTGTTTGGCACACTTCCTGGGCCTGACGACAACGATTGAGGGACAGACCGATCTAGGCAGCCCTAAGTAAGCCGCAACGACAAAAAAAATCGGATACCTTGATGCCCTCGCATTAGTGTGGAAAATGCCGGCAGATGACTACTCTAGAACAGATAAGCTTCTAGTCGGAACTGCAAATCCTTTGTAGAACGGCACTGCATTCAGTGCTTCTGTGAAGAGCTTTCATTATATGCATTTAGAGATAGTTATATCATCGTCCTCATGCGAGGAGATAAACAAAATAAAATTTAATTTTTTTATGTTGATCGGAAACTGGACTCGAACCCAGGCTCTGCAAAACGGTAGCGCGCACTGCTAACAACAATGCCACAGCGGCCGCCGAAAATTATACTTTTTCAAATATCTACATGTGTCAAGTTAGCACTACACTTTTCGAAATTGGAAAAGTTAACTACGGCATTAATTGTAGTGTTTTTGTTGTAAATTTGTTGTGGAAAGAAAAAATTTGTAGCTCTCGTTTTTTAAGAAAAAATGGTATGTAGTGCTAACTTGACACCATACACCTAGTCGATAGAATTGAGATATTGAAAATGTTATAACGGCATTAATTGCAGCTTTTAGCTTTAAAATTTGTTGTGGAAAGAAAAAATTTGTAGCTCTCGTTTTTTAAGAAAAAATGGTATGTAGTGCTAACTTGACACCATACACCTAGTCGATAGAATTGAGATTTCCAATATGTTACTATGCCATTAATTGTAGCTTTTAACTTTAAAATTTGTTGTGGAAAGAAAAAATTTGTAGCTTTCGTTTTTCTGGAAAAAATTGAGTTGACCCTTTTTCGAACAAAATCTAGTATGTAGTGCTAACTTGACACCATGCACCATTGACGACAGAATTGAGATATTGAAAACGTTACAAAGGCATTAATTGTAGCTTTTTTGTTGTAAATTTGTTGTGAAAAGAAAAAAATTGTAGCTAGGTGTCAAGTTAGCACTACATACCATTTTTTCTTAAAAAACGAGAGCTACAAAATTTTTCTTTCCACAACAAATTTACAACAAAAACACTACAATTAATGCCGTAGTTAACTTTTCCCATTTCGAAAAGTGTAGTGCTAACTTGACACACGTCAAATATCTTGACTCCAGGTCACCAGGTGGCGTTCTAGAATATTCAGACCCCCAAGCAAAATCTTCATGCTACGCTTTGAACTATCAGAATATAAAATACTATTGCTTTCGTAATTGTCTGTCAGGTAATGAATAAAGCAGTAATAATCAAAAAAAATGTTTGGACTTAAAATTTTTCACATTACTTTAGGTTTTGTATACGTTTTTCTTCTACCGT